CTAGTTCTCGATATAGGCAATACAAATTTATATTATATAATTATGATTCACCTTACTTGTAAATGGTCACCAAAATGGTAACATACCTTTATGAATACATTCTGAATTCGGTTTGGCCTTTATTAAAAAACAGTGATGCAGTTAGTGGACAGTAAGATAATATTGTTGGTTAGCTATGCACGTTGGTGTATAAGTACTATTTGCGGTGATCGCGTACACGTCCTCCTGAAAATAAGCTGGACAGGATTTACTTCTGCAGATGGGTCTTCACCAGGGCAACCAGAGGGGCAGCTGTTGGCATCGCTGGGTGCTCACCGGCACTGCCGGCGATATCAATATGGGTGTACTTGATCGGCAGCTTTGAGTCCAAGCCATGTTGGTCCAGTCCGGAAGCCTTAATCATGAAGGCGGCGGGCACCTGGTGACCGCGAGGAGTCTTTACCGACGGCGCATTATTGGCCTGCACCAGATCCTCGCCAATCACCTTCCCAGCGTTAAAGGAAAAGTCACTGGGCCGGAGAATGGATACTTCGAAGGGTTCTCCGAAGGCCTGTCCAGCAGCCTGCAGTCTTCTGGCGTGATCCTCCCGGTGAGCCACGCTGTTATCGATGGCAATCGACTGACCCTCACCGGCCGAGATGAAGGCGTGACCAGTCAAAGTGGCAATGGTGAAAAGATGCGGATCCGGGAGATTCTGCTCCACAACCAACTCTTTCATGCGGCAGAGAGCATCGGTCATGCACATGCGACCCTCAGCATCTGTGTTTCCAATCCTCACATGAAGACCAGCTCGCGAGGTGATAACCTCATCGGCCACATAGCACTCCTCGCCCACGGAATTGCGCACCATGCACAGGGCAGCCACGACATGGATATCATCCGGTTGCAGTTGACTGACCACCTGCATGAATCCAGCGGCAGCAGCCGCTCCGCACTTGTCGCGCGACATACCGGCCATCACTCCTCCGGCCTTGATGTCAGCACCACCGGTGTCATAGGTCACACCCTTGCCGACCAGCATCAGGGTTTTCCTCGCCGGCTTGGGAGGCTTGTATTCCAGGAAAATGATACGACCGCGGTGACGCTCCACGGCATCTGCAGCCCTGTTCACGGCAGCAAACAGGGGATACTCCTTCGCCAGAACCTTGGAGTCACTGATCACATTCACGTTGAGCTTCTCGAACAACGGCTTGATGTACTTCTCCACCTGGATGGGCGTCATGCGCTCCGGGTCTCCAACTCCGATGTCGCGGGCCACAAAGCGACCGGCCTCTAGAACGAGAGCTTCCTGGAAAATAGCTTCGGCCTTTGGATCATCGATCTGGACACTGAGCGTGGTCACACGGGGGTCCTTTAAAGTTCCTGCCTCGCGCAATTGAATGGGCTGAACGTATTTAGGTATAGTGATTTATATAAAAGTAAACATAATTTGTATTATCTATTATCTTATTACCACATAAAGCTGCTCCAGAGCTCCCAGAACGGTGCAGAGCTCGGCCTCGGGGAAGCGCTTAACCTTGGGCACAAACAGCAAAGGGGTTTGGAATCCAGCCTGGTAAAGGAACACATAAGATGTGTATAATTACACTTGAAACTGATTACAATTTTCAAAACCCACCTTGAGAACCTTCTCCATGGACCGCTTGGCCGCCTCCTGGTAGCTCCTCACATCGTCGTAGTCGGTGAGCTCGGGGACGGGAGCGTAGACCACAGGTTGGTCCACGTTGGGCGCCTTGAAGCAGGATATGCTGCTGTCGAAAGACTTGTCGAACTTGCGGTGCTCCTCGAAGATGGCCTTCAGTTCATTGGGAACCGCATCGCGGTCGATGATGCACAGGCAGTCGTTGCCAGCCAGACTCATCAGCTTGTTCAGCCGGAGGGTGCATGGTAGAATTCTGGAGGGGCACACGGAATGGCTATTGTTATTCATTTAGAAACACTTCTGGGTGTCAACAAAACATGCAATGGCGGCTAATTGAAATTAATTTTATCACGTCACAGTTGCTTTATTAACTGATGCAATCGTGCATATTGCATAACAGCCTTCTGCCTTTGTATTGAAATTTATTATTTCAAAAGAAAATGTCCCCACTGTATGAGGAGCAACCATGCCCATGCTTTAGTGCGTCCCCTTTCATTTACCCTCATTCCTGGCGCTGACCTTATCATAACTTAAAGTGGTACAAAGAATCGCGATAAGCTTTAGGAATGGCCATAATCACAAACCGATTTCCAATTTGGAAACAAGTGTACCACCGACCTAGGTATTAGCACACTACAACAAATGGTTTTAAAGTACTTATTAACATTTGAAATCTTACTCAAGTGTTTCTACTATAGACCAATCCATAGTAACTGGGTCTTTAATATTTTGGCAAGTAATCTTATGCGGTGGACCATTTAATTGTGTTATCTTCTGAAGCGCCCCATATCAAACAAAAGGTTTTTTGTTAAAAAAGGTTAATGTTTTTAAGAGAAGCAAGAACTCTGTTATCTTAGTATTGATGATGCAAATTGTGAAATTGAAAGCGAATTGTGTCCTCTCCTAAAGAAGATAAAGAATGGAATTTTTACGACACCGATTCCTTGCAGGCAGCTAATTAAAACTGATAAACGGTGAGATGTGGAATGCTAAAGAGGCTCTTATTTCGTTTCGGAATTATGGGAAAGGTAAACTGATGGCAATCAATGGGTGCTAGGCGACCAGCCCTCACTGTAAAGATGGCGAATCTCTGAGAGCTTTTCCAATCGGTCGCTAAGCGTGCCAGATAACTGAGCAAGTTAGAACACACCCTCTAATACCAGTTGGTAATACTCACTTTTCGATGCCCATGATGAGTACTTTTTCGAAGGCAGCTCACGCGACTTGGTCGATCGGCAAGTGGGGCGTCACTGAACCTCCTCCACTGATGGGAACAAAGCGCTGCAGCTGGAAACTGGAAACTTGGGAGCGGGATCTGGAACGGGAACGGAAAGCTGGCGATAAGGAGCGATTCTGATAGCTCTCCGCGGCGATTTGCAGTGTTCTGGCTGGGTGGCCAAGCTTTTTATACATTTGACTAGCGAGCCGGGCTTTTGTTTTTTTTAATTGCTACTTGCTTTTACGAATGAAAACAAATCGCACGAGCGATGAATAATCGCCAGTATGCTCGCTATGTAATTCTAGAACTCGGATATAACTTGTCAACAATAAAGGCAAAGTCTACTCACGTCGCTCGGTCTTCGGAATTGTTATTGTGGGTTCCTCTTGCCAGTCACGTCCACGGTGGATGCAGTTTCTGGGCCAAAACTAACCAGTGGCAAAAAACAAAGGAATGGCAACCAGGTTTTTTTCACAGTAGACCAGCCGGCATGTGCGGAGCTTTCAAATGCCGGCCAGGTGACAGCTGTTTGTGGTTTGCCCGCGTTGCCAATCGTCATAAAGGATGTGGAAAGCTTTCGGCTCGAATTTTTGATACCTTTGCCGAAATAAACATATGGGACTACAAAAACTAGCCGCTTATCTTTGGTTGTTATTATTATTAATAATTCTTTACACTTTATGCGTATTTGTAGGGAGGCTTAAATTATTTTATAGGCCCAACAGCACAATCAATTCCCCAAATAGCACAAAACAATTTAAAACAATCCTACAAATAACACTGTACCATATTTATTCACCATTAATGAAGCGTTGTATATCGTCAATAAGCTGTGGAAGTTTCTTGGCCTCGAGAACCAGGAGTTTCCTGTAGGGCGTCATCACGGCATCGCCTTCCAGCCAATCGCCAGACATGCCCGAATCTGTCTCAGAGGCCACGGAATACTCGAATGAGAACTTCGCCCGATCCGACAGCAACTCATCCTCAGCGTTGGTGTAGTTGTCCTCGGCTGGTTTTCCCTTCTTCGCCTCTTTCCTATAGAATTTCACCAGGAGCAGCAGGTTGCCAAAGTCGAACTTCATTTTCTTGGCCTTGGCTGCTTCGATTTCTTGCTGCAGACTCTGCAGCAGCGGCACGGAGATCTGGGCTGGGATGTTGATGAACCGCTCGTTGATCAGAAATCCCGCGTGGCGCTGCTCGCTGTCCAGAATCTCCTTCAGCTGCTTTTGAACTTCCTGAGAAGCGTGCGTCCTGGCGCGATCAAGTATGTAGGTTCTTAACTGGGCGATGCTGGGCTGGTCCTTCTTGGCGGTCAGGTTCAGCACAGAGGTTATTCCGAAGACAGTTCCATCCTCGACCATGTTGTCGTCATCCGTTTCGCTCTCGGCGTCCTCGTCGTCGCACTGGCAGATCACACTGCCTATGAAATTTTGGGCTGGAAACAAGAAAATGTACATTATACCAAGATCAAGTTCATTACCTTTGAATACTTACCTATGATCAGATCCGCCATTTGGTTGCAGTTGATGTGGGCACGAAGGAATAGTCGCTGCAGCAGTTGAGAGATTCCCTGGGCATCGGGGTCCACCGGCGCGCGTCCCTCAAAGTCGATTTCCACCTCCTAATGGACAGCAACTTTAAAATACATTTGCGTCCAACTTTATGGATGCTCTTAGTTTACCTCGTTTCCTCTATAGGCATCTGGATGCGGTTCGTCGTCGTCATCATCTTCGCTGGAACTGGAGTCGTCCTCGTTGGGGTCTACCTCCATGGTATTCAGTTTCTTTTGCTTACTTGCAGACATTTTTATAATTTAGTAAACGAATTTGAGTTTGTTTCGCTTCCCATAAAAATATAATGCGGCTTTAACAGCTGTTTATCGTCCACACGTGTTGCTTTGCGTTGCCAACTATAACGCACTGGGCTGTTAAGTGATACGAGTTCTGTAAATAAGCAACGCAACGCTTAACAGACTGTTAGGAAATAATCTGCACCATAAATAAGTATTTTAATATAAAATGAACAAGTTTCGCAAGTTTTAAATGTCAAAATGTTCGTTTTTTATGCATACTCAAAATATTACGTACATTATTAATTTATGAATTATTCATTAATGAACAAGTGTCAGAAAATATGATCTCGTTTTTAATGTCAAAATGTTCGTTTTTTTATGTATACTCAAAATATTACGTACATTATTAATGAAGTCTTAATAGACTATGAACAATATAATATATGAATCTTTCATTAAAAATACAAAGGCTTTAAAGACAAGCACAACAGCGAAATTGAAGTCAAAATCACGTTTCCATCTCCTTTTTTTCCTTCTGAGTGTTGTCCTCGGAGGACTCCTTCTGGTTTTTTAGATGCCCCTCATACTGCTCCTGGGTTAGAAGACTCGCCTTGATGGCATCGCAGTTTTCGATTTTGGGCAGAAGAATGGCGAAGTAGCCGGCACCCTCAGGCAGTTGCTCCAGAAGCTTTGGCTCCTCCACTAGGGCGGTGTTTACCTCCACCAGTTTGCCCCGAATGCAGCTGGGGACCTTGTAAGTCTCTCCATTTTCTGTGGCGATCAGCGCGAGGGTGGACTCCGCCTGTAGGATCATTCCGCCCTTCTTGCCCTTGCCCTTGACCACATTCTGGCTGCGATCTACGTTCCCTATATCGAAGTTGACCGAAGAGATGCCCTGACCCAGAGCAGGGTGTTCGGGAGCCAGGCAAATCAGGCAAATGCGATTGGAGTGGTAGAGCACTTGGTAGGGCACGTCTCCCTTGAAGTAGTAATATCTGGTGAAAAAGCGATCCACTACGCTGGGGTAATCCTCCTGGAAGCCATCGGTAATGGGAGTTACAAGCTTCCCGCAGATCTCCTGCTTCCCGTGCTCGAAGTAGAACGGTTCCAGCGGATCCTCCGGTTGTACTGACATTCTGGTAGATTTCTTCCTTAGATTTTTTCCTGCTGGAGCAGCTTTTCTTTGTATTTGGCCTGATCCTCACGGGCTTTGGCACGATTCGCGGCAGATCGGGCGATTCTCTCGCCTTTTAGGCACTTGACCACCTTATCGTCAATGGAGTTGCATACGCCCACAAATTTTGCGAATGCGTTCTGAAAGCGGGATACCCTGTTAGTAGCTATTCGCGGCATATAATATCCTGGTTACTTACATTTTCGTGGCAGGCCTGGAGCTCCTCGATCAACTTGTTGCAAGCGGGCGTGTGCAGATGGGAGGAAAGATCCGTATGCATTTTCTCCTGATTCCGGCCGGGTTTATTGCCTTCCCACTTTCCTGATTCGCGTGTGTTGTCAAATTTTGTTAGGTAATTTTAACATATGTTTTAACAGAATAATTTCTTCTTTTTATGGTCACCCTGCAGCATAACAGAGGCCAGTTTTGAGCCAAAAATACTGACGGAAATACCAAATTTTAAAATCGTAAAAAATTAAAACAATTTTACATTTACAAAATATGTCCCGTTGCAGTTTTGTGCGGTTTGTGGGCGTTAGAGTGGGCGTGGAAACATGTGGAAATAAAGTCGCGACGCGTCTATGTCTCTGGAAGCTGCAACATTCTAGCTTTTATAGTTCCTGAGATCGAGGCGCTCATACGGCTATTGATCCTAATCAAGAATTTATGCATGTTACATACTTTTCAACGAATCTAGTATACCCTTTTCCTCTACGAGTAACGGGTATAAAAATCTACTTCTAGAATAAATTTATCTGATTTTGAATAATAAAACCATTGATTGCTTGGGGTTTTCTGTTGTTTTTATTTATTTGTTTCACCCGCTCTCACAGTTCATTTTTACATAGGCTTTCAGTGTGTAAAATTGGTTATTTGTATTTTATCTATAGGAGCTGTTCTCGCTCGTTAACAAGTTTATTTGTTCTATTTAAATAGGTTAAATTCTTTATTATCGTCTTCACTGTTTGCTTTTATCAAAAAAGTCTTATAAGCTACGAAAAATCGCCAGGGACAGAAACAAGAAACCAAAGAAATTAAAACTTTACGAAATTCCATTTGCTCAAAACTCAAATCTCAGATCTCAAAATCAAAACTCTGCGCTGTTGTCCACTACTATTCAAGGAAAGAGGAGTTTAAAAAAAACCGGGCACTTGGGAATTATAAGATGCTGTTGGCCAATGAGGGGTCGGATTTTGTGGGTTAGAAGTCATCGATAGTTCGTCTATTAGTTATTGCTCTCAGTTTTGGGATAAGTGCTGATCTACTCGCCTAGAAAAGACTCTATGTTCCCTCTCTACTTGGATAAATATAAAAGTATTTAGTGTGTGTGTTTTGCTCTCGATATTGAATTTGTTTCCCTCTCATAATGCTCTCAGTTCGGTTAAATTGTAGTAAATTAAATGAAAATATAGATCTCCTGCAAGGCGGTTGAAATTGAAAGTTATCCAAAGCAACAGTTGCTTTTTTTCAAAACGCTCTTGCCTCCCTCTCTTTCATTTCGCCCTCTCTCTCTCACACTTTCTCCGGCTTTCTCTCTCCTTAGCTAAGCTATACCTCTCTCTCCTCAAACAATGTCCTTGTTTCTTTGTCTTGCGCTGTTGTTCTCTACCGATTTCTGGGGGTTCTATAACATTTCTCCCTTCTCGATATTAATTCCCAATAGACGGTTTCCGGTGCCGATGTCACATGCTCTCTCTGTCTCTCACTAAAACAAACTAAATGGCAGGTTTTCTCCTCTGGGAGGAGCCAACACCTCAACTCGTCCTCTTAGGATCGGCCTGGTTTTGTGATCCATCCTGCTGCTGTGCCTCAATGGCGGCCAACGCAGACTCGGACATCTTCTTGTACTTGCCGGCCAACTCGGGCAGTTCGTAGGCAATGGCCAGGTCCAGTTTGGTGATCGGACAGCCGCGGAAGTAGGTGCAGGTGTCCCTCAGCTTCTTAAACTCGTACAGCGGATTCAGGCGGAAGAAGTCGCGGTAGACTTCCGGATCCGGAAGATCGTAGCGCGAGATGTTCGTCAGCGTGGAGAGTCCCTCGTAGATGTGGTAGTTCTGCGGATGATCGATGATGTCATCGGCGATGCGCTTCTTGTTGCCAAACAGCGTCTTGTGGTTGTTGAACGTGTTCAGGTAGCAGTCCACCATCTTGGCGTGGTTGCGCACGCGCACCTGTGGATGCAAATGCAAGGACTCGCTCAATAGCTGTACTCATTGTACTAATTACAAAGATTATGCTATGAAATCGTTTTTGGTCTGGAGCACTTTGGCAATCAGAACTTGAGCTATCAGATATTATTTATCATAAGCCCGTAGATTCACAATAACGTAATTAAACTTTTACAATTAAAATCTACTTAGAACGCCTTTCATAAAATAATAAAATATTTAATAAGACTAGCAATATGCCCATTTTCACCCTTTATCGTCAAAGTAATCGTAAATATCACGCATACGCCCGAGTACTCACCGCAAAACGACGGGCGCTGGCGATCTTGTGCTCAATGCGCTTGTCGATGGCTGTGCGCAGGTCGCGCAGGAAGGCGCGCTCCTGGGCGAGCAGCAGGCGGGCGGGAGCGCCATCCTGGTAGGGGTGGGTCCACAGCGAGGTGGTGTACATCAGCGGGGGCTGGGCGGAGGACATCAGGGGCGAGATGTTCCAGATGAGAGCGCCCTGGACGCGCAACAGCTCCTCCGGCTTGACGGTGTCCGCCTTGTTGAGGATGATGCGCGTCTGGTACTCGCGCCCCTTCAGCTGGTCGAGAATGGCCTCCGTCTCGGGGCCCACATCCAACTTGGCCGGGTCGTAGACCAGAAAGATGATGTCCGCCCGATCGATGAACCACTGGCAGGCGTCGTTGAAGGGGAAGACGCGGGACACTTGCTTGCGCACCTCTAGAATGCCGGGTATCTCGACGATGTTGACCTGAAAAACGCATCGTCAAGCTCTTAAATATAGTAATTCTCAGCCTTTTTAGCTTTGCTATCTATTTGTACTCTCTGCCCTGTTCCGCATTAATTTATTAATAACGAAATTAATGCCCACAGCCTGTGTGCTAAAAGCTATAAATTCCGTTTGGCAGGTGGCCAGCTGTTTTGCAGGTTCCCAACTGCACTGTTTTGCTGCCCTGGGCGACAAGTTAATGCTTGGCGGCGCCCATGAGCATCTCTCCCTGATCTGCCCGCCCAGATATGTATGTAAATACATGCATGGCCTACCTTCTCGAGGATCTTGCTCTTCATCTTCAGACCACGCAGGCGCTCCTCCAATCCCTGACCGAACTTCTGGAGGCCAGCAAAGGTGTAGTCCGCCGCCAGTTGGGTTCCGTCCAGAACCTCCGTCTCATTGCCCCACATCAGAATGTTGAAGTAGGCCGGAGAGGGTTCAGCACCTGTTGTGGATCAACAAAATATATATCCAAATCATTACTAGATTATTTCGCCTTTTGTAGGGGAAATTTGTTTACAAATTATTGGCAACCGTACATTCCAAATAGAGACTAAATTTATAATGGAATTTGTATATGGATTTGTTTAAAATATTTTTGAACTAAAATCAAAATTTGGAACTTGAAAGAAAATTACTCTATATATTTGTGGAGCAAAATACGAATTCAGGTGCAAGATATGCATATTTTAAGAAAATGAGATGTAAAATTAATATAAAATATTTATGATTTTAACAGTCAAGTTTTTATAAAAAATCTGTTCTTTTTACATGTTTTCAATTTAATAATTGACATAATAAAAATGTACTATTTGTTTTGAAACCTACCGGTTCTCAAAGAGTTCGGCGTGTACTCGTTGTCAGTCAGATAGTTAAGGATGGACGACTTGCCGCCCGACCAGGGACCCATGAACAGAATCAGGGGCTTGGAGAAGATCTCGGGATCGCTGAAGTGGCGGTTGCTCAGGTCGCGGTACTTATACAGGGTCTCCAGGGGCTTGACGGCGTTCTCGTAGATGCGCTTAATGTCCCGCAGGATGATCTCGGCCACGTTGTCGGTAGCCTTCTCGCGGGCATTGAACTCCTCATCCAGCTGAAGCAGTTCGGTGATGTGCTGGCGACTGCGGCGGTTCTCGGGAATGTGTCCTTCCTGAAAATGAATTATACATACAATTATATCATACAACTATATACGAAGCTGTATAGATCTACCCAAAGAAGCTCATCCTCTGGCTTGGTGTCGTCATCATCATCGTCATCATCAGCGGCTTCTTGTGCGGCATCGAGCTGTGGTTCATCCTGAGCTTCCTTTGATTCCAAGACATCTTCCTGGACAGCTTCGCGTTCCTTGGGAGCGGCTTCAGGCTGCACAGGTTCCTCCTCAGCCTCCTCAACTGGTGCGGGCTTCTCTTCCTCCTTCACTTCCACAGACTCTGCCTTCTCTTCTTCCTGCTGGACTGGTTCGGATTTGACTACTTCCACTTCCGGTTCCTGTTCCTGCTCCGGTTCCGGAACAGCTTCCTGCTCGGGCTCCTCCTCTTTCACAGCCTCGACCTCGGCTTCCTCGTCGGCAGGTTCCTCCTTGACGATTTCCTCCTCTACGGGGAATTCTTCGGCGGGACTGGGTGGAGCCTCAATGTCCAGCACGGGAGCAGCGTCCACCTCGCGCTTGCTTCGCTTCTTGACCGCCTCCTTGTCATCCTCATCATCGTCATCGTCGTCATCATCGGCATTCTCACCGCTATCCTTGTGGTCGTGTTCATTGGGAACTCCGTCGCCATCAACATCACCGTCGTGCTCATTTAGAATGCCATCTCCATCCAGATCGTCGTCCTTTTCATTTGGCACACCATCGCCATCCAGGTCTTCGTCCTCTAAAAACGGTTATGGAAACAATAATATTAATCAAGAATTTTAAATAGATCCTTAGTCAAAATATACGTACGAGAATTGTTGGTACCATCGCCATCCAAATCGTCATCCTTTTCGTTCTTCACGCCATCCCCATCAATATCTTCGTCCTCTGCAAGTAAACAAGTTCATAGAAAATATTATTAAATATTTCTAATTACTAATTATTCTTACCGTGATTCACTTTGCCATCTCCATCCAGATCCTCGTCTTCGTCATTTCTTACTCCATCGCCATCGAGGTCTTCATCCTCTGTACATTTAAATTTATAATTAATATATAGCTTTCAAAAATATGTCTCTTAACCCACCGTGATTTATTTTTCCATCACCATCAAGGTCCTCATCTTCCTCGTTGGGCACACCGTCCCCGTCGAGATCTTTGTCCTCTGAAAAATTTTAAAAGAGTAATGAGAAAAATTCTAAAGTGCTAAAATGCTGAAAATGCAAATAAACAAAGATTAATATTAGAAACAATTAGCCTACATGTGAAATATACAAAGCGAG